CGCACATCAGATTATTATATCGAAGATATGAACGAGAGTGTGATAACTAGTGACTCACCGTCATCACTGAAATGGACCTCTCCTAAATCAGACAAGTCGTCATCATCGCGAGCACCGAACCTGTTTGTGAAGTTCGGATTGCTCTAAATCCATCGTATCTATCTACGTATTAGGAGAAGGAGTTTATAAGCCGAGAGGCCTTACCAAATGCAGGAGAAACTTGAGTGAAAAAACTTACAACTTCAGGTAAGTATCGCAACGCGTCAAACTGAACCACTCCGGTAGGAGACTTAGGAGATGGAAGCTCCTGAGGCAAAAGACTTTTTGCACCTCGGGAGCTTAACAACCTGCAAGAAAGTTTAGAACTCAAGGTAAGAAGCCGGCAGCTTGTCAAACTTAACCACCCCGATAGGAGACTTCAATTGGATTATTTATACCTTAATGACGCAGAATAAACCTTCCAGCTGATAAATAAGGTCGCTGGAAGATGGATAAAAGACTTTTTCGCAAAGGCGCCCTCGGGAGTCGAATAACTTCTAAAAAGGGGTTGACTGCAGGTAACGGTAAGGATCGGCAGTTCGTCAAACATAAGACTTGAATTAAAATTGATCATCGACTCATTCCTAACTCTCGATGCTGTTGGGTTACTAATTAGTTACGACGCACGGCGTTGTCAAAGCTGCACGCAAAAAGGTTAGAGTGATATGGATAGTTATGGGCAAGGATGGCAACGTGAGTTGAGTGAGTTTCTTCGGGAGCTAAATAATGATGAGCATATGAGGAGAGGAGAGGAGGGGAGGTAGGAAGAAGATACGAAGACGAATGAGATTGTAATGTGAATGTTTGATTAAGTTATAACAAATCAACCAAGCCATCATTCTATTGTACTTAATACTATCAAGAAATTAAGATATAATATTAATAACTTATTGCGGACTACTAACGAAAGTATCAACCTTTTTATGACGTTATTCATTACATTTCATTGCTTATAGGAAAAAGCAGAACTGTAATTATAGCAGAATAACGCGCTGTCACCGAACCACTTATTCTCTGCTGCTGATAATATCAAAACTACATGCACGGGTGAAAATAACGCGTGTATTATATACTGTACTATCATTTCTTCCGACATTGATCTACACTTCTGGTGTGATCCGTCTTCTGGGACTTTTGCAATACGACTGAGAAGAACATTTTGCCGGTGTTGGTCTTTTTTCCAAGTTCCTTAATACTATCAACGAACACGATCTCGTTAGTCTGTAGCTTTCTCGCCCGTTTCTTTATAAAACCTGTCGAAACAATAATTTGTGCCGTAGAATCAATGATCCGTGTGGAAAAGCAGAACGCGACGGAATGACTATGATCAAGCAGACTGGTATACGGAGAGCAAGGTTCTAATTACGAATGTAAGGTATGTTACTAAACATAGATACAGTGTACAGCTTCACTCTTAATTTCCGTCACCACCTACTCACATTTACTCACCAATATAAAGCTCCGCATTACGCTCAGTCTCAGCGGTTTACTTCGTTGAAGTTTTAGCAATGACTATTAAATGGGAACAGTATGGACAGAAATAAGATAAACATGCATATTCGACTATCTTTCCCCATACCCTTCCAAAGCTCTTTATCAATACTCTATCTTTTGTCCGTCTAGCTTTCCGTCTATCGCATATTATCATTTCAACCTTTCCGCAACGCGTAGCATATAGACTTCTTCCATCATCGTCTTCATCATTCGTCAGCCACAAGTTTAACGACATAACTCCTTTCCAATCCTTTAAAGGTTTTACCAATCGCTCGCTATTACTAGAGACTCGATTTTTAGAAGATAACTTATATGTCCGCGTATTATCAAACAATGTCAACGAATCTTACGTTTGCGAATAATTAAAACGCTTCGATTGCGCAATTTTAGTCTGGGCAAGTCCATCTTCCCTGGATGTTGGAAGACGGTTTTGGTAATATTATGATGTCGACTGTCGGTGTAAAATGAAACATACATTCCATAACGTATATAATAAGCTTTGTTTATTAAATAAAAATACAATTTCGGACATGTTCTTTAAATGCAATCAGTTCAAAGAACGTTGTTGTGATCTATTTGGAAATTATTGTACGTTGATAAAAAATCGCTAAGCGCGAGTGCATAGTGTTTATGAGTCATATTCATAACTGCAGAGTGTTTTCAGAATATGCTGTTTATCAATAGACTTTAAGAGCACACTCGCATTGTAAGTCCTTGCCTCTACCAAAGCGGAGTAGCTTATGCCACACAGCAGGTGTCACAAATCAATTAAGTGCCATAGTTGTTATAGCTTGTTTCGGAAGTAAGCCATACGGGGGCTGGAATGACGAAAATAGCAATTTAAAGTCATATACAGTTTTGTCGTGCTAGTAAAAATATTTATTATATGACCGCAGTTAAATTAAAAGCAAAGAAAGCCTTCACAAAAGATTAAGAGTACAGCAAGCTATGATAAACGCTTCATTATTGTATTCGTTATTTGATTTAGAAAGAAGCACTCATTGTTAATGTCATTATTAACCTAAATTTGTTTTCATACTATTGTATTGGTAATATCATTCCTACTGAAAGATGTATGAGCAAATCACCGTCTATGGTTACCCTGTCATCGCGCCACTTGCACAAAATACTGTTGCAGGAAATGAACCTGATGAATGGCATTATGACACATTAAAAATTCTGACTGACTGGTTCTGTAATTTTCGGCGAAATAATGTATATCGGTTTAGCAATTCTTTGATAGGTAGATATAATGGGTCGGTGGGCGAACTGTTTGGATTCGGATATTCTGATTTCGTTCGTCTAATTCCTTGATCTGTTTTTCATGAAAGATGAGCCGTCACTTCCTCCATATGGTCGACTTTGTCCGCAAGCTCTTCGAACTCACGCTTTTGTTCTGCGCACTGGCGGCAGCTGCTTTTTTCTCACCACCGGATTCGCCACCCACATTATGGGTGTCTGCCCAGTAAAGTCGTTTGTTGTTGATTTTTTGCTTTTGTGAGAGAGTTTCCCGCTGTTGCGCGCGCGTTGCATGTGTTTGTGTGTGCTTGTGTGTGTTTGTGTGTGTTTGTGTGTGTGTTTGTGCGTGTTTCTGTGTGTTTCTGTGTGTTTGTGTTGGGACTTCATTCTTTAACAGAATACGTTCGATATTACGTCGTCATATTGCGTTCAATTCTACGATAGCTCCGCTGTCTCTATCAATGACTGTGCTCCTTGCTCATATCTCGTTTGCTATAGCGAGTGTATCGGTAACGGAATCGTCATCATATTCCCCATCATCTATCCGCTCCGTACTGAGAAATATGTTCAGAGACATCAGCGACATGGATCGTACTGCCGCATGGGTTGCGGAAATGCAGACAATAATGATTTTGGTGGGCTTGCTGTGAGGCTGCTTTTTTTTTATTTTTTGGATGAAACTCCAACTCCGCAGTGTGACTCGCGCTATAGTTTGGTTTACTCTGTGATGTGACTCGAGGTATTGTCTTTGGAACTGCAGGTCTTACGTCTTATCTACTCGAAGGTTGTTTGTGACCGGCGGAATAGGCATTCACCTCTTTGGTATCGTTGACGTTGCAGCCGTTATCACATTCCCCTTCGCTAACAGATGCCTTCTAAGTCATCTTTCTCTCAAACATGGTGACCTTCTTTTTCTTGAAAGGCATCTTGCAGTGTTTGTTGCGCCCTCGGCTTTTCTAACCGCTCCAATAGCCCACTTTCTAACATCCACTTCACATATTGTTCTGCATTTCTTCTTTTCTTATCTACATGAGCTTTGAGCTTTTCGTTGTCTTTTTCGCCCAGCTTGGTAAACCTAACTCCCATAATTCTCATATCGAAGAAGAAAAAGCATATTACTAGCCAGCCGTGAAGCTGTAGCAGACACTGCAAGCTGTATTATACTGGAAGATACTTCAGCTAGTGGTCTTCATGCTGTACATCGGATTGCAAGCGCAACGAGAAAGATTTTCTCATTCTTAATATATCCAGAACGGAGCCATCACAATTGACGTCGTCGGGTGCTGAAGCTTCAATTATAGACTGCGGCCTTAAGGTGAGCACAGTAGTTCTGGGGGCATAAGTTCTTTCGGAAAACGGGAGAGGGCCTCACAACTTGTCAATCGTGAGGACGGTGACATCAAACGATTTTTCAAACGTGTCATATGTGTCGCACAGAGCTGGTGCATTGCGTGGAATATTAACGACGCTGTCTCATAATATACTTCTTTTCGTTTATTATTATATAGCCGGGGGCAGAATTCAATTCAGGAGCCCCCAGAATTACCAGATAATCTCTTTTATATTTACTGTGCTTAACACGTGAATTGACATTCCCGGCAAGCATTTCTATTTCTATTAATATATTCGTTCCAAGAGCACGACACGCAAGAGAATCATGTCTTAACATATGAGAATGAGAA